GTTTTTTTTTTTTTTTTTTTTTTTAACATTCTGTCTTCGAAAAACAATGTGTACCCTCTTATTTGGGGGTATGGTATACAAAAAAAATGGTATTCATATTAGGAGGGGCGAATGCACTTACTAGCCCATTCTTTCGAAAGCATGTTAGCCTTGTTATTTCTGCTCTCCTCACCAAAACAAAAGTCTACCTGCTCCCCCAAAGACTTGTGATTTCATACTATTTCAACTGCATTTATCATTTAGGCCCTGATCTTGCACATATTTTTGTGCTTAACTTTCTATCAATAGATATAATGTTAAGTAAGTATGTGAGTTTTTATAGGATTTGGGGCATGAGTCCCTGTTTAAGACTAGTTTATTTTACAGTGGTAATGTTGTTTGTTTGTTTGTTTGAGTTCTGTGTCCTTTGAAACTTATTTGCTATTCACATGCAGCAACTGTATCATTTTTGCCATGTTATGTTTAATTTAAATAAAGAGGGCTGTGTCTCTTGGATATGTTTAGAAGTTCTTTGATTTCATTTGTGAATTTGTAGTACTGCTGTATCAAAGTAGATAAAGCTGGTGACTAACAAACCCAGGACCCTACTCTAATATTTCTAAGCAGCCCCCTCAGTCACCCCCGAGATGGTGGCAGATGTCTTTCAGATTTTGAATACTTACGAAAGGTGTTCAAATACCTGTTCCAGAAAATTATAGAATATCTATAGCAGTTATTCATAACAAATCTACACAAAATGTATTTTATGATATTAAGATTTCTTGAACTCTGAAAAAAATATCAAGTATTGTTCTCCAGTGGATATTGACATTGATTATGGTAGTGATGCACTAATAACCTATGTAGTATAAGCATCCACTAGTTAGAATAGTTGGTATACATCATGAATTTGCAAACAAAAAATTGCAATATTCATTGTATCTTAAAATCAACCTGATTATAATTTATTGGTCTGTGTATTCATAAATAAAAATGGTCTAAAAAATTATTGCAAGTCATAAAAAGTTAATATTTGCCTAGAAATGTGTGGGGAAGAGAACAAATAAATGTTAGCCAAAGAAATAATGATAAAATCAGCATAAAAACTTCATTGCAATTATTAGCATGAAGGTAATAATGGAGAATAGTATTTTTAAAAGTATTGGAAAAGGTCCATTTAAAGGCAGGGAAATGAAGTGGCACAGTGATGAAGAGCTATGAAAACTCCACTTGGAACAATCCTTCTATGACAAAGATGTACATAATAATTTACTGAGTGGCAGGCAAGTCCCACTGAAAACCTGAGGTTTAGCTAATCAGAGAAGCAGGCCTTGAATAAAGTGGTTACAATAGTATTTGTTCCTTACCTGTTTTAACTATTCAGCTGTACTTACAGCAGTTGTTCAGCAGAGGGAGCTTTTAGAATAAGCTGTTGACTGTCTTTGTCTCTAGGGCAGTGAATCTTAAATGAGATATCTTGAGGTACCTTTAAAAAATGCTGTGGGGTGCCACATAAAATTAGCACTGTTAAGTCTGTAAACATGATTTGCAAGATAAACCCAGATATTTCAAAAAGATATCCATAGTTGTGTTTTTTTCTGGGTTCTTTGCAACAGAAAAACTGGTATATTATTTTTCTGTAGGCAAAAAAAGATTAAAACCAAAGTTGCTTGGAGATGTTTTAAAAAAGTAAAAAGCCACACTTTACCAGAAGCAGCAGCGTGTTACTTTAGCCTAGCTCTGCAGTGTTTGTGAAGATTGGGTACTTCAGGAGAGTTTTCTGGCGTTTTTAGTTAAAGCTGATTTAATTAACTATTAGATAAAAGTGCCAAAAAAGCCCCACTGAAGCGCCTGATCTTGACAGATGCTGGGCAAGCCAGGTTGATGTAACACGCTGCCTCTTCTGGGGATGCGTGGCACTTGGCGTTGGAATGTGCCAAGTTTAAATTAAAACGCTGGGATTTTTTGGGTTTTTTTTTTAAGGGTGCACCAATAAAGACTTTTTGGCTGATACGCATGGCCGATTATTAACTAGACATATTGGCCGATAACAATTTGCTTGCTGATATGCAGCCCGGCAGCTTGAAGACTAGCTTCTGGCGGGTAAGTCTGTAGGAGAGAAGAGGTGTGTGGAGGGAGGCACATTGAGGCCCCCCTGTGGTGAGGGAGAGAATGGGGCAGGGGTAGGCACTGCCGAGCCGGGGCAGGGTGGGGTGTGGGACAGAGCTGTGGGCAGCTCATTGGGGGTGGGGAACAGGGAGTTAGGGAGAGGGTGTGGGAGGGGTGGGCAGCTCCCCACTGCTGCATGCACCCCCAGGGGAGGCATGGGGGGCATGTGTGAGCCTGCTCAGGTTCAGGCCTAGGGGCTGTGCTACCCTCTTCCTGGCACGGGGGTCTGGGCTGGGGATGCAGGTGGGGGTGGTGCTTGGAGGGGTGGCTACTGGGGGACTATGGCAAGTTTTGGGGTGGCTATAGCCCACCCTGTAGCCCCTGCTCCCAGTGCTGCTGCAGCCTGCCTTGCCCCCACCTGACCAAGCAAAATCCCAGCCCAGCCCCCCCCCCGCACCAGGGAGAGGCTGGCACAGCTTCTGGCCCTAGTCCTGCAGTGGGCAGCTCACCCTCACCCTGCACAGAAATCCCATTCCTCCCCAAGGGGTGTGTGCAGTGGCTAGGAGCTTCCCCCCAGACTGCTCTGCATCCCCTGGACAAGCTGCCCATGACTCCATCCCACATCCCACTCACCTGCCCTGCCCTGGCTGGGCAGCGCCCACTCCTGCTCCATTCCTTCCCTCACTGTGGGGGCCTCGATCTGCCCCTCCCCACGCCCCTTCTCCCCACAGACTTATCAGCTGGATGCTGGTCTCCAAGTTGCTGGGCCACATTCCTGCCGTGTGGCCACCTGCATGCATGCACATGACATTTATCGGTGACATAATTGGTTACATTGGCCAAAAAAATCTGATTGCTGATAATGTCATTTTTTCTTCTATCACTACTGATCCAATATGGACTGATATATCAGTGCACTGATATATTTTTTTATGTCTGCAAGTCTAAAAAGGTTGAGAACCACTGCCCTAGGGAGCAAGTATTTTGGCTTAGTAAACAATCTTAAGTCTTGGAAATGAGGAACCGCAGTCTAGTCCCAACCCAGTGCACTTTTGGATACAGCTTTGTTCCTATTTCTGATTATGAGTGGGTGGTTTTTTATGGGGAGGGTCAGTTTTTTTAATGCAGTCTTAATAACTCCTTCAGAGAGAGGGAGCCTTTGGTTCTTACCCTTGTTCCCAAATCGGTATATATATTTTATTCAATGGCTATTTAATGTAAACACGTCTAAATAGCTGTGGGAACATAGAGCAGAACCCAGGAACCTCCCGCCCATGGAAGTTCCCGTCTCACTAGATCAAGTTGGGATTCCTCTGGCTTGCTCTCCTTCTGGGTTCACTGATTCCTGTATTACTTTTCACCTAGTGGCCCAGATTTAATGACAAGGATGAGAGTGCCCTCAGTCCTGTCAGGCCTCTACCCTGATGGTTAGGGCATTTTTCTGGTAGTGGGAGATTTGGGTTCAAATCACTGCAAGGTGATTGGAGCCAAGAACCTACATGTCCCATAATTCTTATATTGTTTCTGAAATGAAGTATAGTTAATGCCAGTGTTGGCGTGCATATGTGTGTGTGTGTGTAATATGTATTTGTTGGGGTAGAGGAGCGGGGGTGGAGGTTGATGTGTGTTCAGGCTAAAGCTCAAATTTGCACCTTAGGATTTTATAACACAATGTTGTAATTACTCTGTAGCCACATCCATTGAGCCTAATGTAGTTCTCTTCCTTCCTTCCTTCCTTCTTTCAAGAATCTTTAATGAACATATGTATTTTTCTTAAGAAATGTTATCACATGCATTGAAGCTGTTTGCCATTCATTTCAATGTGATCTGAATCAATTACCAAACTTTTTTGAACTCATAAAATAGTTTAATTTTTTAGTGATTTCAGAACTTCATACTTCTCCCTGTCTCTCTGATTTTTCTTTTCGGTTTTCTTTTCAACATCAATAGAATCAGATGGATGAATTAAAAAGGCAGGAGATGCTTTTATGAGTTAGTTGACTAGCACTCAAAACAATCTTGTTTGGGGATGAAAGGAATAATGTAGTGGAAAACTGCAAAATACATGTGCTTTGTATTGTGGCATAAGCAATCACCAGGGAGTGGCAAGAACTAAAATATCTGACTAATTAAGAAGCCACATGACTTGAGTTGTTACCACCTTAGAAATGTTTAATTCAGACTAATGTATTATACGATGATCTTGTACAAGCCACCATGGTGAGGGAATAAGTAACAAGCCCAGCTGTTTTTCCTAGTAGTAAGAAATCTTTTGTAGGGCTGATTCTGGAATATAGGTTTAATCAGTTTAATGATTAATGTTATGTTTACCTTTAAGTGTTGAGGTGAAAAAGATGAATTGGAAAGTTATTCCATGAAACTGAATATGTTTTTTCCAGGTTTTAAATAACAGTAAACCCTTCCCTTCTAGGAAGGGAAAACTAATGCTGTGGTATTATTTTAATTAGCTCTTCAGGTGCTGGGAATGTAGCAGACCGTGTCTTGGCTCAGTTGTTAACGGAAATAGATGGGATAGAACAGCTAAAAGACGTGACAATTTTGGCAGCTACAAACCGACCGGATATGATAGACAAGGTAAGAATAAATGCACTGTGGTATACTCTGGGTCTCTTGTGAAAACCGTCTTCTGGAATAATTTAATTCTATTTCAATGTTTATTCTCTAAATAGTTCTCTAACCAATTTTTTTAGTTAAGGGAAGAAATTTCAAAACAAAGACAAAAGAGGAAAGGATTATGTCCGTTTCCTTTTTAGTTACTTGAAGTTCAGTAAAAACAAAAATGGTTTGCAATATCTTTAAGTATCAGTTTGCTGAAAAATTCTCTCTTAAATCAAATTCACTAAATTTGTGCAGTGACATGTCTGGTGAGCCACTTGTCTGTTTTGTTCTTACTGTACTTGCTTATGAAGGAGTGTACTAGGAAAAATATTTTTCAGATGATGTTTTCTGAATTTTCTTGAAAGTTTGTAAATATTTTATGATAATTTTAACCTTTTAAAAGTACTTATAGGAAGTTTTACCCCCTTTTTTTGCAAGATTTATATGGAGGATACATAGAAACAGCACTGTCACCAGTTAGTTCATAAATATGAAGCACTGAGAAAAAAGCTCAGGGCTTCAACTCCAGAAATACAATTGTTTTCCACTTGAGCCATAGAAGACTCTGCATTGGTGTTTACTCTTATACTTTGCATGCAGATAGAAAATAGTAAAACTGGTTGGGAATTTTTCATTAAAAACAAAACAATTAAATGAAAAATGTATTTTCTCCCAAAATAGGGTTTTCCACAAGAAATTTCAATCATTAATCTGTGTCTACCTGAGCCGGTTCAGTGTGTCATGGTATTTGTAGTTCAGGTATCTGGTATGCCTCTATTCTCCTCTATTGGCCAGGCTTGCTGGCTAGCTTCTCATGACATACCAAAGTCCTCCTGGCTTATTTTCTGCAAAAACTTCCACTAATATAGTTTTCCACCCCCATTTTGAACAGAAGCATATATTTTGAAATATGTTAGTATCTTCTGAGACAGACATTCTAGTTAATAGGAGCCAGCCATCAAACCCAACAGGCAGTTGGGACCTGTAGTAATGTAGCCAGTAAGGCTTTTGTTAGTAGCATACTGAGACTGGTGCTGTGTACACACATTCAAATAATCAGGGAGAATTCTCCTGGGTTTGTTCCCCTGGTAGTAAAAATTAACTAAACAAACATTTGAATGCAAAGTCCTCAAAGAGAAGAGAGATTACACTGCTGATGCTGTGCAGTGAGGTGGGGTCCCTGTGCACATATCTCAGTGTACTGTGCAAGCTCCCTCAATCTGCTAGGCAACAGATGGCGGCCTTGCTTGGAGTCAGCCTGTGTCTCCCTGGAGCACAATGTGGAGATTGTGAAGGGACATGTTTTGCTCCCTTCTGGAGAAGCAGAATCCAGCAAGGGATGTGCTGTCTCTTTGTAGGGGGAAATATGTTAGAGGTCTGTATTCCCTTGTGAGAGAAGCCATGGTATGTACAGAGTTTTGCTCAATTTGAGGCATGTTCTGTTCCCTGATTGGTTGGAGTAGTAGAGTCCAGCCCAAGTGATACATTGTCTCCTTGAGGGGGAGAAGGGGAGAGAAGGGAACAAAATACCCTGGAATGCTGCAAGGTTGTTCTGTGGCTTCTTTCAGAAGGGTTACTTGTGCAAACATTCACTCTCCCAGAGAAACTCTTTTGGAAGTAATTTAACCCTGGTTATTCCCAGGTTATTTTTTCCCTGGAACAGCCGTTTTTGCTTTGGGAGAAAAAGTCTGAACATCTGTATTAGAGGTGCACCGATATATTGGTGCCATATTGGATTGGCAATGATAAAAGGAAAATTAACTATTGGCTATCAGCTTTTTTTGGCTAGTGTAGCTGATAATGTCACCAATAAATATAGTATGTCTTCTGGCTGTGGGACCCCTGGACACTGCATACATGCACATGGCCAGGAATACAGCTGGGCAGTGTGGAGAGCAGCATCCTGCAGATAAGTCTGTGGAAGGGTAGAAGCAGGGAGGGGAGGGCAGATCAAGGCCTCTGCAGTGAGGGAGGGGCTGGGGTTGGGGACAATGCCCAGCCAGGGCAGTGAATTGAGGTGGGAAGCAGGTCAGAGCTGTAGACAGCTTGTCCAAGGGGCATGGAGAGCGGAGGCCTGCCTCCGTGCCGCTTTGCACACCCCCAGGGAAGACCTGGGGGCATATGCCTCCCCCCCCCCC